TATTTATTTATTTATTTTGGTAAGTGTTTTTACGCCTCTTGCACCCGCATAAGGTTATATAAGCGCGCGTGACACATTAAACTTTTTCAGTTTGTAGGACATTTGGAATTTTGCACGGGTGGCGGCCGACGTCTACTCTTATCGATTTTAGACCACCCAAGGGATCTTTAACGTGCGCAACTTGCACACAGGACCTCCGAGATTTTTCGCCCTTGTCCGAGAAGGCTAGGTGTAGATCTTTCCTGTCAGAAGATTAGGGGTGTGGCTGAAAGACAGCAGTAAGAAGGAGCCGAGGAGTAGCAGTAGAAAGGCTTCAGAAAGAATCAGAAGCCCAGAGGAGGGGGCAAAGGAGGTGAGGGGGTGGGGGCAGAAAGTGGAATTGAAAGCAGACGACAGAAAATTGCTAGAGAGCAGAAAAGGAGGTGAAAGGAGACAATTTTAGAGAAGACATTTTTTTCCGTCGCTACCAGGATTTGAGCCCGGGACCTTTGAATGAGAGGCGTACACCTTAACCTCTAGGCCACGAGAGCTCCCAGCTAAAGTTTACAGAAGTGAGGGGACAAAAGCTGTTCCATTCTTTGAATAGTTGTATGTGGGTGGTTTGGCGGGTGCTCTGGTGTGGTTTGCTCCTTCTTTCCTGTCAAACGTCTATCGTCTTTATCTCCTCTCTTTCTTTTTGTGTTTGTTACCGTACTGTCTTGTAACACCTCTTATCTTCGCCACTTATATGACCTTATTGTGTTGCAAGTGCTGTAAAACCCTTACGAAAAAAAAAGAATAATTGTATCTCCCTTACGTATCTTTCTTGTTTTATTTTTCAACACGTAGATTTCCACAAACCGTTCTTGAGCCCCTGCAACCAAATGCCACAAACTGCAAAACAAAACAAGTTTTGGGCTGAGCAAATGTGACCACCCGACGGTGATAAATGTGAGGCATCGTGGTGAAATCAGGCGCTCGTCAAAGTGACGAAATCAGAGAACCAGGCGTTTTCCGCTAGTTTGGACATTTTTATCCCATTTTCGTTTTTTTTG